GATAATCACTGCAAAACTATTATCCTATATAATAAAACCCTAATATGCAAATCAACTGAATGGTGGAACTACTGGTCACTATGACGTGCACTGACTACCAGGAGGCAGTCGCTCAATGCAGGAGTTGCCCCTGGTCAGTGTGCTCCCACAGGGAGAGTACTGCTCAGCCAGAAGCTGGGCTCATGGCTGGCGAGTGCATGACAGTGGCGGGAGCCTTTCCTGCCTCTGCTGCGGGTGGGCAGTAAGGAGTGAGGGGTCCAGGACTGCAAGAGCTCCAGCCTGCGAGAGGGATCTATGACTGCCAGCCCGGGGGATCAGGCCTAAGCTGGCAGGTGCACATCCCCTGAGGGGTCCCAGACTGTGAGAGGGCACAGGCTGGGCTCAGGGACTCCCTCCTCCAGTGCATGAATTTAGTGCACCGGTCCTCTAGTACTTAATAAGAGAATTTAGTAGGTGGCTAAGTAGAAAAAATTAAAAGATAGAAAAGATCCCCTTCTATAACACAGAGATACAGCACCTGTGAATGAATGAACTTAACAAGAAATACTCAAGATCTATATTTTTAAAAATTAAAATACTACCGAGGGACACAAAAGGAATCAACAAATAGGAAGGAAAACTATGTTCTTGAAAGGAAGACTAACACTAGGAAGATGTCAATTCCCTCTAAGTAATCTAGATGTGTAATGCAATCTCAATACAAATAAGATAAGTTGATCTTAAAGTTCATGTGGAATAAGAAATAAGAAAATATAGTTAGGAAAATTTTGAAAAAGAAGATTAAAAGGAGCTCAAATAGATATTAAAATATAAAGCTAAAATAGTTGAAAGACTGTGGTGCTAACAAATTAAAAAAAACAGAGGGGCCCCAACCGGTTTGGCTCAGTGGATAGAGCGTCGGTCTGCAGATTGAAGGGTCCCAGGTTCGATTCTGGTCAAGGGCATGTACCTTGGTTGCGGGCACATCCCCAGTAGAGGGTGTGCAAGAGGCAGCTGATCGATGTTTCTCTCTCATCAATGTTTCTAACTCTCTATCCCTCTCCCTTCCCCTCTGTAAAAAATCAATAAAATTTATAAAAAAAAAACAAAAAACAAAACAAAACAGAGGGAAGAGAATGGAAAATCCAGAAGTAAATTCAAATTCATACACAAATTTGATTTATAATGGTAGCATTTCAAATTAGTGAAGAAAAAATTATTGTTCAATAAATGATTTGGGATAAGATAACATTAGGAAATTGTCCAGTGAAAATAGTAAGAGATATGAATAGTTAGTGGAAAATAAATTACAAATGACTCTTTAACATATGAAAATGTTCACTCACAGTGAAATAGAAAATTTCCCTCACAATAAAAAATGCAACTAAAGATTACACTGAGATAGCATTTTTCACCTTTCAGATTGACAAAGATCAAAATGTTTGATAGCACAGAAATGTTGGTATTTATATGTGGAAATAGACGCTCTTAAATATTGCTGACATTCAATCTATGTGGAGGACAATTTGGTAATCTTTATCAAAATATTATATGTACCTTTGACCCACAATTTCATTTCTAGCAAAATTTTGATAGCAATACTCCTACATGTGCAAAACTACATAGTTTATTAGTATAGAATGTAATAGATTGGAAATGAATTTAAAATCCTCAAAGGGGCCCTAGCCGGTTTGGCTCACTGGAGAGAGCGTCGGCCTGGGGACTGAAGAGTCCCAGGTTCGATTCCAGTCAAGGGCATGTACCTGGGTTGCAGGCACATACCCAGTAGGGGGTGTGTAGGAGGCAGCTGATTGATGTTTCTCTCTCATCGGTGTTTCTAACTCTCTATCCCTCTCCCTTCCTCTCTGTAAAAAAGTCAATAAAATATATTAAAAAAATAAAATAAAATCCTCAAAGAGATCTAGTGAAGTGGTGGAGCCATATAAATGAGACAGTATGCTGACATAAAAAAAAAAATTTAGAAGTCTTGTGACAGTGATATGGAATTATGGCCAAGCTATTTTTAAAAAAATATATATATTTTTATTGATTTCAGAGAGGAAGGGAGAGGGAGAGATAGAAACCTCAATGATGAGAGAGAATCATTGATTGGCTGCTCCGGCATGTGTCCTTGACCGGAATCAAACCCAGGACCCTTCAATCCACAGGCTGACGCTGTATCCACTGAGCCAAACCGGCTAGGACTGCCCAACCTATTTTGATAAATGAAAAAGGCAAGGGGAAGAATATACAGAGAACATGCTACCATTTGCGGGGGGAGGGGTGGGTGGAGAGGAACGAAATATATATGTATATATATTTGGAATGTGCATAAGTTACCTCTGGAAAAGCATCAGAAACAGTCACATTGGTTGCTTCAAGGGAGAGGGCCATGGTAGTTGAGGGACAAGACTGAAGAGACATTCCACTGTTTACTGTTGGATACTTTTTGGATTTTGAACCATGTCAATAAATTATTTGGCCAAAAAAAGGAAACAGATAAAATTAAACCTAACAAAGGCGAGGAAAAGTTGACTGACTGTGATGTACACAAACGAGGGTTTGCTTTTCTCTCATAAAAAGAAGCCCAAACTGACTTGTTCAGCTGCTCAAGGATGCCTCGTTCTTTCTTTTCTTCCAGGACCGCCGTCCTCAGAGGATTGGCTTTTTATCTCCATGGCTGCTTCCTCGTGACAGTAAGATGGCTGCGACAGCTCAGGCTTCATGTCCTCAAACAAACATCCCCCGAACAAGAAAGAAAGGACAAGGAAAACCAAAAACTTTTCCCTAATGATGCTTTTTGTCCTAAGAATGAGACGTTTCTGTACTGTCATTGGCCTGAAATGGATCCTAGGCCCCATCCTAAACCAATTCCTGGCAAAGGGAAATGGTTTTTTACTGGCTTCTAGAGGAAGGGCCGCTCCTCCTGACATCATGGAATGTCTGTATTGGTACAGAAAAGGGGTTCTGTTGCTAGGGAAGGTGTGGAAGTCTGCTGGGTAGGTTGCAGAAAGACTCCATCACAGATGCCAATGTGAACCACTCTATCTTCTGAAAAAGAAATTCTTAGTTACCAGGCCCGTCTACCCCGACATATCCCACTGCTGCCACTTGACACAGTTAAATCCATCTCTCTCCTGGGCTGCTGGCGTGGCCTCCTCCCTGGCCTTCCCGTACCCATGTTCACATTGCTGGATTCAGTATTGGCTTTTTGCTCCCTGTGATATCAGAGTGGGGTTCTCAAAATTAATGTATGAGAGGCTACCTGGATTCAGGCTTAATTGTCCCATTATTAACTACTATTGTAACGGGTCCCATCTTTCTAAGGCAACTGTCAAGAGGCTGTCTTCATTGATTTTCTATCAGCTTTCATTCTAGACAGGAGCTCCTCAATCTAATGCGTGCTCCTGGAGTCTGTATGAATTCGACCCTGGTAAGACAAGCATGGGCAGCGTTATGGGCTGAGTCGTGTCTCCCACAATTCAGATGTTAAAGTCCTAACCTTCAGTGCCTCAGAATGTGACTGTATTTGGACGTAGGGTTTTTAAAGAGAAAATTAAATTTAAGTGTGGTCATTAGTGTGGGCCCTAATCCAGTATGACTGGTTTCCCTATAAGAAGAGGAGGTTAGGACACAGGCACAAACAGAGGAGGACCTTGTGAAGATACACAGAGAAAACGCCATCAACAAGCCAAGGAGAGAAGCCTCAGAAGAAACCAACTCTGCCGACACCTTGATCTTGGACTTGTAGCCTCCAGAACTGTGAGAAAATAATTTTTTTGTTGTTTAAGCCTCCCAAACTGTGGTACTTTGTTAGAGCAATCCTAGCAGATGAATACAGGAAGGTATAAATCTTACATTTGAATGGTGTTACGTAGAACTCTGTCTTCGCACCACTTTCTAAAAGTGTTTTTCCTTTTATATCGTTGACAGTGTAGAAGAGTTGTTTTTTATCTGAACACATGGGAACAATGATTAAGGATTCATGTTGTCTGGCTGTAGCGTACTGCAAAGCAGGAGGGTTTAACTATCTAAACATACAGCTCACCATTGTTGACTTCTCAACCAAGGAAGATGGTTGGAATACTTTCATGAGGTCAACCTTAAATAACCCATCCCCTCGCTTGGATCAGGCGACTCCTGGAGTATGTGTTTTAGAGCCACCCAATCTTGATGAGCCCCAGCCACAGAGTTCTTAACATGAGACCCAGATGGTGGCCTTTTATGGAAGGAGCCGTCAGCTGGCAGCTGCTCCCTTTACAATCCTTCACGCTCAGATTGCCTCTACCGGGCAGCACGGTAAATCAATTCTGGGGGCCCAAACATGTACTAAGAGAGCTTGAGAAGATTTCAACTTCTTTCAGGCAAAAAATAAAATAAGGCGAAAAGAAATAAACAAAATAAAAGTCGTGAGTGCTCCTTCTGGGTGACAGGAGGTCAGCCTAGATCTCGACACTAACAGAATGTGAACTTGGCCTCTCACATTTTATGCCTCAAGTCATATTTTCCCCCTCAGTCAACCCCGCAGAACATGTCTGCACTCTGCAATGTGACTGTGAGGGTTCATGCCTGTGGAACATGCCAGGGGGTCTGGCTCCCTGAGAAAACCAGCCCATTTTACCCCTGCAAAGAAATTCTGGAAGAATGTGGTACGTGGAGTTTTTACTCGAGGCCCCTAGAACCAGGCTAACTGGGTGCAAATCCCAGCTTTGCCATTTGCAGTTGAATTGGGCAAGTGACGTACGCCTCGGTTTCCTCAGGCGTTAAACGGGAATCGTAGTAGTAGTAGTATCTAGCTCATAGGGATGTTGTGAAGATTACATAAATTATTATTGCAAAGCATTTCAACACGGCCTGGCATGTTGTCAGTGATCGCTGGCTAATACTGTTATTAACAGAATCACATATACCAGTCCCTCATAGACATACCTCTGTGGGATTATATTTTAGTTTTGACCTTTGCCTTTGACATTGCCCAGTGGCATAGTGTTTCTATATGAATCCCCAGAAAATAAATGATCTAGGTCTCAATCTCCACTTTATTTGCATGTGGTTACAATTTATAAATACACTTGCCATTTTACTTCCTCTCCGAAACTTTCCTTTTACCTGGTAACCCTACCCAAACCCCCAGTTTTTAATGACTCCTTTTCTTCTCCAGAGGAGAGGGGTGATGGTCCATGTAACTCCATATTCATATAGGGTCTACCTCAGTCCATGCGAAGTGCAGGTCCTCAAGGGGCCTCTGAAGCTTGGGATGAGTGCCACGAATCTGTCAGAGGTTCCGTGACGTCCTTGCAAGTGACCATGTGGCTGGCTTCCTTCTATGCCATGCTTTGGGTGCAGAGCGCCATGGTGGGCAGCAGCAGGCATCATATGCTCTGTCTGCCTGAAGCTGAGCTGGTGCAGCTCCAGTGTCCAGGGGATCTGCAATGAAGTCTCAGGCCTGTTCAGGCAGTAGTGAGAGTCCTGTGGCGGGCACCGTACCCAGCCAGTGCCCGGCCCTGCTCTCGGAGGTGTCTGAGGCCTGGGCCCTTAGGACTTGCCTCTCAGGGGCCCTACCCAGGCCCCCTGTCAATCCTGTGTGGGCAGGGAAGCCTCGGGGAGAAGGTGCTCTTGTGCCTCCCTTCTCCTGGCTTCTTCCAGACACCATGAGGCATGGGTGACAGATTGGGTCCTTTGTCCCGTTAGAGGTCATGGCATCCCAGTGTCTCTGTCTCGGCCAGGTGCCAAGCTTTGCCATCTTCCTGGTAGGGTGTAGAGAGCCCGGGAGGACCAGGGGCACCCTCTTCAGGAATGGGGTATGGAGGCTCCGGGGGCGCAGGGGGGTCTCCAGGACCTCGTGCTCCCCCCAGTACGGGTCCATTGTAGATGTAGATATTGCCAGTGACAGTCACAGACCCGCCTTTGCCGACAACAATGCCATTGGTACCTGTGGGAAGGGAGGCAGAGTGAGAGGGGCTGAGGGGCACTGTGGGGGAAGGAAGGCCTGTGTGCCCCCTGCATTGGTGCCCCTACATCCTGAATGCCCTCACTCTTCTGCCTTCTCCATTTCCTCTCTGGTCCCACTCCCATTTGCTATTGGTTTCTTGAGCCCTGCATTCATTTCTGTTTCTGGGTTTCTCAGACTCTTCCTTTCTCTCTAGCTGGGACATTCTGGCTGGCTCTCAGTCTCTGTCTTGCCTCACACTTTCTCTCCCTGCCCACCATCCTTCCCACCGCACATCCCCACCCCACCCCTCCCTGCAGCCTGCTTACCATGGGCCACCTGGCCTTGCTCTGGGAGCTCAGCCTCCAGCTCCCGGGCTTGGCTCAGAGGACTCTGCTGTTGTAGCACCTCTTGTTCCACAACTGGGGGTGTTGGGGGCCTGGCTGAGGCCAGGGGCAAGTCTCCAGGGATGGGCAGAAGTGGCTTTACCAGGTCAGGGATATGTGGGTTGATGCTTGGAGGCTGCCAGTTTCCATCAGCAATATTGGATTCCTCTCCCTGCAGGAGGGAAGCAGAGAATCAACCAATGATGTGGGCCTCAGACCCCCATCTTTCTTTAATTCCCACATCCCAACCCAGCTTAGGCAGCCCAGGGCCCTCCTCTGCTCCTCCTCAAGCTCCCTGCCGCAGGCCTTTGCACTTGACATTCTTGCCTCTTGGAGCATTTCCCCAGGCATCCCGATGCCTTCGTTTCTTCAGCTCTCTGCTCAAGATTGGCTCATCAGAGAGGCCCTCTGTCCACTGTCTAAGGTAATATACCCCCATCCTCTGCCACGGTCGTCCATTGTTCCCCTATCCTGCTTTATTTGTCCGTTATCAGGACCTGATACAACTTATTTACTCTTGCTCCACTGGTATGTTACTCCAGGAGGGGAGTTACTTTGTTCACTCACTGCTATATCCACGTGCCTAGAACAGTGCTGGGCAGATGGCATGCTCAAAGGTTATTCATTGAATGAATGAATGTTGAGGCCTGCACGCTCTTTTCCTGCCTACCCCCACATTGTTCACTTGTACTTCCTGCCCCTCCTTGCTGCCTTCTCAGCTTCCCTCATTACCTCCGGACGGCTCTTGAGCAGGGATCCTGCAATGAAAATAAAATGGATGTAGGGCCTCCGGCAGACCTCAGACCCCAGGCTTTCACCCTCCACACCCACCACGAGGTGTTGCTGCCCACCCTGGGGTCCCGGAAGGAATAGGCTATCATGACCCTTCTCTCTAGGCTCAGAATGGAGGTGGGGTAGGGGAGGGGCTAAAGGGTGACGATGTCTATGTTGGGAGCAGGCACTGGGAGTCTTGGGCATGTGGAAGGGTTGTATGGGGAAGATGAAAATTCCCTCCCACCCCCCTCCCGCATCCAGGTCGGGACTGACAACCACATCCCTGCCTGCATCCAGCCCTTCCTACCCTACCCAGCTTTCTGCAGAGAGACGGGTGGCTCTTCCAGGTGCAGGCGAGGATGGCGGAGAGGAACAGCAGGGAGACCAGGGGCAGCAGGATGGCCAGCACCAGCATAGTTCCTGCCAGGACAGCAGACAGCAGGCGGCATGATGGGGGGAGAAGGGCAGAGGGGAAGGAAGTTCATGAATAGCTTTTCAATTCTCCGGGCAACCCAGACAAAAAATAAGTTCCTAAAGGCAGAATTAGAGACAGACACTTCCCTGGGTGGCAGAGAAAGGGAACTCAGTTGGACTTGGGGGGACCTCCAGATAGCCAGGAGAAAGTGTGGGAGATGGAGATGTTTGGGGTGGTGCAGGTCCCAGCGGCCTGAGGCAGTTGATTTTCAAGGGCTGGAAGTGGTGGTGAGAAGCAGTACAGGGAGGGCGGGGCTTAGGGCTATAAGCAGACTCAGGCCACAGGGTAGACTGTCTTACAGAGAGGCCACCGCAGGAACCGAGAGTGTCCCTCTGTACCTGCGGGGTGTTCACAGAGGTGGGAGAGTGGGGAGCCTCGCTTCTGAATTCTGCCTGTGGTTGCCTGAAAGGCTAGGGGTTGCAAAGTCTCCACCCGCTTGCAGGTTCCAGGACGTTATGGGAACAGGAGGCTGGGTGTTCAGTTTCCCAGGACCTGATGTGGGGCAGTGGATAGCTTCTGTCTTTCTATGGGCCTCAGTGCTGCCATCCACAGCCTGGAGTCTGTGGTGCCCATCAACCACACCTGAGGAGGGTCAGGAAGGCTTGGACATTTGCACCTTGGAGGGGGCTCTCTCCAGTCCACCTGGATCTGTGGCTGAAGGGAGTACAGGAGGGAAGCACGGGGAGAAACTGGACCTGGAGTCTTGGACACCTGGGCTGCCCAGCTGTGTGACTTTTTAAGTCAGTCCACCTCTCTGAACATCAATTTTTTTCATATATAAAGTAAGGTGGATTCGACTCTCTAAAATGCCAATCATATTTGATACACAGTTAAAAATTAATAAGGGGACATGGAAAATATTTATGACATAGTTGAATGAAAAGTCAGGTTACAAAATACTCAAATGACTCCACTTTTAGAAAAAAAATTATCCGTATAAACATACATAGAAAAAATGTTTGGGAAGATATATAAAAAAATGTTAAAGAGTGGATATTCTAGGTCAGTGGTCGGCAAACTCATTAGTCAACAGAGCCAAATATCAACAGTACTTCTTCAAAATAGACTCGCCCAGGCCGAAAACCGACTTCTGCGCATGGGCCACGAAGTTTCAATCGCACTGTACGTGCGCCCGCACGTGGTATTTTGTGGAAGAGCCACACTCAAGGGGCCAAAGAGCCGCACGCGGCTCGCGAGCCGCAGTTTGACGACCACGGTTTTAGGTGATGGTTCTGTGGGTGATGATTAATTTTTATGTGTCTGAATTTTATAATTTTTTATAGTGTGCATGCATCAAAAAGTAAATGACCCGAGTCCAGGTCTTCATAACACCAGTTACCACATGGGTGATCTTGGGCAAGTCACACAACATCTGAGCCTCGTTTTCCTTATCCTGTCAGTGAGGCTGATAATAGAACTACTTGATAGGATCAATAAGAGCATTAAAATAACTAGTGAATGTTAAATATTGAAGAGTGCCTGACACACTTGCTCTGAGTAAACGGAAGCTAAGATTAAAAATATTTGCTAATTTTAAAAAGCTAATAAAATAAACTCTTTCCCAATGAATAATGATTCCAGCCGTTAGAAACATCCTGTAATTGTCTATTAGGCTAGGAAACCAATAACTCCACCAAAAAACCCCAAAAGAGTCAAATGTGGAATTACCTCTCTAACAATGAAAGTGTGCAATCTAATAAAGAGGTACTCAGTCTAGTAAATGGATTATATGATGGTGGCAAGTACAAAATGGTGACAGTGACGTCAACACTGACATCTCCTTAGCCTAATATTATATGTATAATATGTAATGTAAAAAGTGTGTGTGTGCAAGTGGGAGCGTGTGTACGAGCGTGTGTGTAAGTAAGCTGGCTTGGGGACACCCCAATTTCTCTTTAAGGAACTTTTCTTCTTGACCCCATTCTGAGAGAAGGATTCACCGTTTCCCATTTTTTCAGATGGGAGGAATTAAGGTATTTTCCCAGATACCCCCACCCCATGTCCCCGACCCCCAGCCCCTCACCTGGCATCTCGGGGGTTTCTGGTGGATTTCTGCAGCTGGTGTCAGTCTCGGTGGTGCCTGGCACTGCTTCTACCAGGCCCTGGTCCTCACACCTGTGGAGGAAAGAAACGCCCAATTCAAGAGGGCATGCGACTGGAAGAGGCAAGTGGCAAGGAGGGTCCTATAGAGTTGAGCACGGGGGTGGGGTTGTCAGCAGCTGGGGCTTCTGGGAGGGTGGGAGGAACATGGGCACACTCACCTGGTGTGGGGCAGGCAGCGGGCGTTGGGGGAGGAGGTATTCTGGAAGTGCCCTGCCTTACAGGGCACACAGTGGTGATTAGCCTCCCCAGCCTCACCTGGCAAGAGAGAGGCCAGGCCAGCCAGGATGAGTGGGCAGAAGGAGCCTCTTGCCCAGCTGTGAGCTTCCTTTATGCCCATGGATGGCCCCTCCCTGCCCACCCACCCTATTCTGAGCTGGTACCTTTCCTGATCTCCCCCTTGCCGAGTTTCCCCAGTGCTGAGGGGACCCCCCACGATCCCTGCCCCTGTCCCACTTCCATTTCTCTGCAGGTAGAGGCTTTTTAAGCCAAAGAGAACTACCCGGAGGCTCACCATGCACACGGTACCATGCTTCCTGCCCCCATGCAAGATCACCAGCACCCAGCCTCCTCCCTGCCTTCTGCCCTTAGTGACCTCTGACCTTTGAGCTCAACTTCAGTGCCTGGTTGGCAGTTGCGGGGTGGCTCGCAGTGCATACACTCATGGTTCACATAGACGCAGGACATTCCTGGCTGGCAGTGGCACTGGGTTTTCTGTTTGCTCGTGCAAGGTGCAGTCTCCTGGAAGCCCAGGACTTGTGGGGAGATAAGACAGCTCGGTGGAGGGGCTGCACTCCAGGGGATCCCGGTCCTCCCCAGGCACACCTCACTCACTCTGATCACAGGGGCGGCACAGCTGGCAGTGGGACAGATGGTTCCAATGCTCATTGTAGGAGTTTTCAGGGCACGTGTCACAAACTGTGTCCTGATCGCGGCTACATTCAGCAGAGACTCGAGTGCCTGGAATATGAGTGGGGCAGTAGGAGTGTCAGGGGACCAGGGTTCCACCCTTACTTCTGCCACCGGCTGTGTGTCCCTGGGCCCATCCCTCTCGGTGCCTGCATATGAAGGATGGCCAGTGTCTCTCACTGTCTCTGCCAGCTGGTTTTCCTGGGAGATGGTGGCTCCCTGCCTTTGGAGGCAGCGAGGTGGAAGGAGTCCCCTGGAACCCGCCTCCCTGTCCCAGGCTTCCTCCGGCCAATGCCTCTCACCTGGGGGGCAGCGGGAGCAGCAGGCCTGATGCTTGGGTTCGTAGTATTCCTTTTCCTGGTCCCGGCAGGTTTGGTTCTCCGTGCGGTATGGGGGCAACTTCAAGGGGAGATAGATTTGGGGGAAGAATTATTGAGGGGACAGTTGGGGAGGGCAGAGAGACCAGAGAAGGAGCTGCCCTTATCCAAGCCAGCACCCACCCACCTGCGTGGCCCCTCCCTCACCAGTCGGGGCTGGGATGCTGTCAGGAGACCGCAGAGGCCTAGGACGAGTGGCCCCCAGGCCAGGCCGCCGGGGGAGGCCCACAGCGGGCGCATGGCCGCCAGTCCAGCCGGGTGGAGGCCTGGGGGTAAGGTGAGAGGCCTAGCTCTTGGGGCAGTGGTGACAGCAGCCTCCGGAGCCCGGGGCTGGGACAGGACTCAGGCCGAAGTGCCCCGGGGGGCCAGAGCGGCCGGGCTGGCCTGGCCTCCAGGGCTCCAGCGCCAGGCTCAGGAAGTGGGAGTGGAGCTGGCCGGCCACGGGGCGGGGACAGGGAGCGCTGGGAGCTGAGCCTCTGTCGCAATCGGGAAGAGGAACAGGCTTGGCTGCCCTGCTGCTGGGCGGGAGGGGGCAGCCGGGAAAACACGTGAGGGCAGCCGGCCCGGAACCGACCTCCTCCCTTCTTCGGAAGCCCGGCTGGGAGAGGGCTGCCGGGGGCAGGCCCAGCTGGTGGGAGAGGGGGAGCAGAGCCAGTGGACAGTGCTCAGATGGGCCTCAAGAGGCTGGCTGGGGCAGAGCTGACCAGAAGAGATGGAGTTCCGGGTGCCAGATCTGAAAAATGGAGTGCCTGGGACTGCCAGACATGGAGGGTGCAGAGGCCCTGGGACCGCCCGCTGCACAGCCAGCCAGACACGCAGCATCTGGGAACCAGAAGTCCTGGGTGCAGACTGTCTGGACTCCTAGGTTCCTGCCCTGTTGTGTGGCTTTTTAAGATAAATTACAAAGGAATAAAAAACTAGCCAGTCCTCCCCTCCCCTGATCCAGCCAGTCCCCACGCTGATGGGCACAGGTCACCTACAAGACACTGCAGAGGGTGCAGCTCCGGCTCCCCTGTCCTCAGAGGAGGGAGAGGAAGGAGACAGATCCTCGCGAGCAGGGCAGCGCAGGAGCCTTTGAATCCCTTTGAATGGGAAGGAGCTGAGGGGGCACCCAGTCCAGCCCCCTCACATAAAGGATGAAGGGACTGAGGCTCAGGTAGAAGAGACCAGGACTCCGCAGGGCTTAGTCCAGGGCTGTCCCTTTTCTTTCTCACCGTGAACAGTGGCCCTGGAGTGACTTGCAGTAGCCTGTCCCCCTCCCCCTGTGTCAGGTTTTCTGGCCTCCTAGCTTCTGTGCTCCTGGCTAAGTCCCACCTATCCTGGAGGTTCCCTGGGGCTCTGGGCAGCACGCCCACTCCAGGCTGCACAGCTCCACTCAGCCTGCTCTCTGTGACCTGCTGCTTACCCCTTACGGGCTGACTGCGAGCCCAGCAATGGCCTGGACCTTTATGTCTGGGTTTCCAGTGTTTAGTCTGACATCCCACGTGTCCAGTACATATTTATGGGTGAAGGACTGATGCCTTGCCCGTGTCACATAGCTAGGCCTAGAGTCCAGGACGACCGATGTCTGGGTCCCAGCTCATTTTAGCAACCACACTGCCTCCCGGCAATGCAGATTGCTGCCCTTAGTGTGAGGGGCTGACTTCCTCTCTTGAGATAGGTCACCTGGGCACTGTCCCCACCCTGCACCCTGGAGAGCCCAGTTCAGGGCTCATCCTTACCCTTGGTTGGTCTGACTGGCTGGACAGGCTCTAGGGGATGGATCTGAGAAGTCCTGGTGCAGGAGTGTGCCTGGGGAGGAGGGCTCACGGGATGAAGGGTTTGCCTGAACTTAGACACTTCACTGTCCTCTCCTGGTGCAGGCCTAGGGCCCACACTCTGCTGTAGTGCAGGCCTCCTGGAGAGGGAAGAAATGCCAGAACAACGTGCACTGCTCAGGGGGCACTTATTTCCAGGCCAAGGGAACTGGGGGCCTGGACCGGGCTTATCACTGAGCTCCTAAGGGTGTAAAAGTGTATGTATGTAGTGGCCTTAGATTATTTGTTCACTCTACTCTTTTATTGTGAGAATTCACACATAAATATAAATATACATATACAAAAGGAGAGACAATAGCATTGTGAACTCCCAGCTTCAACTCAGGGCCAGTCTTATTCTTCCATATAATCCTCCCGCACTCATCTGATCTCCCCTTAATTATTCTGAAGCAAATCCCACACATATGTGTGATTTTGTTTGAAATTACTTCAGGATGTTACTCTAAAAGACAGCAACTCTTTTTCTTACGTATGCGGATCAAAGACCTTCCCTTTTCTGTATCCCGTTATCTCCCCAGAATGTTTGCTGCATGCCCTTTCTGGTCAAAGCTCCTGGCTTCACAGTAGGCACTATCTCAGATTCTTTTCAAGCCCAGCTGGCTGAACTTCATCCTTCTTTCTGCTGTCAGTCTCATGCTCTCACTTCAGCCTGCAATGACTCTCTGCATCCTAAGGAAAGAGCCCTAAAGAGATGAACTTTAATCCTGGCCCCACCACTTCACCTCTCTGGGGCTCTTTTATTTGTGCTAGTCAATGGCTGGTTTCCTTGCAGATCTGTTCTCCACCCTTCCCCTGTTCTGAGCTGTATCTCTACTGGGAACTACATTTCCCAGACTCCTTTTCCCCTTGGCTGCTGGATAGGGTCAGCCAATAGGAAGACAGGTAGGTGGAGGACAGGTGGGTGGGAAGAGAGAAGCAGGCTGTTTCGCCACCACCCTCACCCCACATTTGCTTTCTAACATCGCCTGCAGTTGGCTGTGTTTCTTCCTTCTCTTCTTCCGTAACCCCATGTCCTACCAGGCAGCCCCTACTATTTAGTTCCTGGCAAATAGTTCTGGAAGCTTCTGGGTCTATAATGTGACATTACCATGTTGTCTTTCCAGCCCTAGAGATGATAGCTGCTTCCTGCTTTGCTGTTTTCTAGATTGCCTCACTGTCTCCTGTTGGCTCCTCCATCAGCCATGTACCAGTTGCCTGTGTTAAATTTCTTTTGTTTGAAAGATTTAGAGTGTTTCCTGTTTCCTGGCTAGACCATGATTGACAAATCTTGTCAATGCATGGTTTTTATGTCTACCCAACCTTTTCCAAGAGGATGAAGGGAGACTCACAGGAGTGAGGAATCCGTGGATTCTCTGTGATCAGGGCATTGTCTCTGCTTCTTTTCTTTCATGCTCTTCGCCAGCTTCCTTGAAGTGTCACTGGTTTCCATTGGGCTACACCAGCCTCAGACTAAGTGCCCCATAGACTCTCAGAATGTGGGTGGGTGGGGCACTTCTCCCAAGCCTTCTTTGGAGGAGATTGCTGAGTGAATCTTCTTCCCACAGGCCCATGAAGAACCCAAAAGGGGGTTGGTGAGAATTAATTCAGACCCTTGGAAAGGGTCTGATAAACACTGAGAAACGTGTATTTGATGAGCGTTGTCCTTTTCTAGAGCATTTCCACTACCACTGGGGACAATCCCTTAGCCCAGTCTTCTCAACTAGGGTGACGTTGCCCCCCAGAAGACATCTGGCAACATCTGGAGGGGTTGATTGTCACAATGCAGGGGGTACTATGGCATCTAGTAGATAGAGACCGGGGATGTTGCTAAGCATCCTATGGTGCACAGGGCAGTACTTCCCATGACAATGAATTGTCTAAATGTCAATAGAGCCAAGGTTGAAAATTCCTGCCTTCACCCAAAGGAATAAACTTGTGATGGTGAACTTCTATGCATCCTGCCAGGTGACTGGACTAGGAGTGGCTGGAAGAGATTTTCTGGGGCATCATTTTAGATTAAAGAGAAATTCATGCTATATAAGTGCAGATGAAAGGACCACTTTTCCCCACACTGGGGTGGCCACTGTGGAGAGGCTTATTATCTCTACGTTTTTAAAACTAAAGAGTTGCATTTCAATGAATGACACATTTTTACCCTAGAAAGGATACAGGCTGAAATGGAAAAAGCGAATAAAATGTAGGTAAATTAATAGACCACAAATGAACAGGTTGCCAGAGGAAATTAAGATGTAGTGGGGATGCTTTGTCATCTATGTCACACTCTCAGTCAAAATTGAACCTTGGGTCTTACCCCAGATGCTAATTCTGGTGTCTTTTGCACAGTGGGTCAGCAAATAGGGCCACCAAGATGAATACGCCTGATGCCTGACTTCAGAGAACTCATAATATGACCCATGCATATGTAGATGCACAAATGCACACTCATACACCAGGATAAGAACAGTATGCAGATGGAAGTGCTGCAATTGTGTTTTAAACACGGCTCTGTCTCGAAGTGTGGTGGAGAAAGTGGTTATTTCTATAGTCTCCTGTTCCCCAGAGAGCAAGAGGCAGGAAGACCCTTTGAACTCATAACCCTCATCCCACTACAGACCCTCTTGTTTCACTTCTCTCCCTGTAGCCTGTGCACATTTTATGGCCACACCACAGGGTTAGAGTATGGCTGGTGTTGGGTGTGGGGAGGCAGCCCTAAAAGGAAGGAAGGACTGGAGCTCTGAGAGAGGCTGGGGTAGCTTCCAAGACAAAGTCTGCAAGATCCCAGGTCCCCACAGAACAAGACTCGGCTTCTCTGGAAGTTAGGGGAGCGGCACTGAACTTGGAGAGTGGAGTCTCAGCTCTGAATCTGGCTCCGCTGAAACCCCTGGGTGACTGTGGGCAAGTCGCTCTGCTTCTCTGGGCTTTTCAGTTCCCTCATGTGTGAAGCAAGCAGCTAGTTGCAGAGTCAGCTGGGAAGGGCCTTTGCAACCGCCTGGGCTGCCTTATCCACCCGCTCCTGCCATTTTGTTTTTCAGAGAGGTCAAGTGTCATTTTCAAAGTCACATACAGAGGACACACACACACACACACACACACACACACACACACACACATTATTGATTTCAGAGAGGAAGGCAGAGGGAGAGAGAAACATCAGTGATGAGAGAATCATGGATCGGCTGCCTCCTGCACAGCTCCTACTGTGGTTGAGCCCAGAACCTGGGCATGTGCCCTGACTGGGAATTGAACCCGGGACCCTTTAGTCCACATGGCCAATACTCTATCTGCTGAGCCAAACCAGCTAGGATCAGAGTTTAAAGGCAAAAATGAAACTCAAAATATATGAGTGCACGGTAGAGGGGGTCAGTGGGGCATCTGTAATACTTTCAACAATAAAGATATGTTTAAAAAATACGTGCAAGTCTATACAGGCACCAAAAAGATAGAAATGGATACATCAATTACATTGGCTCCCCTTGGGCTGAGGGGTGGGAAAGGAATGGGACTAAGAGAAGCTTTCAGAGTTCTGCCCACTTATGTATTACTGGAAAATTGTATTGCCACAAAAAATGTATTTGGGTATTTCTGTACTTTGAAAGATAATATTTAAAATGGAGCTATGACAAAAGTGCAGGTTTCAGATTTCTGT